CCCCAAAACCCCAAAACCCCAAAACCCCATAAATATTGGATAGCATTGAAAGATTGAATAATAAATTACGTCCTTCAAAGCAATGGAACGGTCAAGTTCAGTCGAAGTTAGAAGTAAGCATCCTACTTTAACACTGCTTCTCTAGGATTCAGAGAAAATACTTCTGTAGAGTAAATCACTGTTGCTAAACTTATTAGTACTTTCACTCATCCTCTTCCCTTAAATGACGCAAAGAGAGAGCAAAAGTAAGAAATACCATTCTGATTATGATCCTTATCTATTTAGCATCACCAATGCTATAAAACTGAGGGAATCAAGGATGACAAAATCTGATTTTTATTACAAATTAGACAACCTTGTGAGTAAAATAAAAGACTACCAGGTACTTCCTTCAGGCTTATCATCCAGGAAACTTTCAGCTGGGAAAGGAGAGCCCCGAAGAGAAAAATGAAGCTAATCTTGGATTTATCATTGGTAAGTTCTGATGGCACAAAACGTACTCGAATTCTATGAAATCTTTGCTCTTTTAAAGTCTTGTAGACCTCCTTGTATCTTTCAGACGCTAGCTTTAGACATTCTAAATTTGGAGTGTTGGGTTATATCCCTTGTTTAGAGAAAATCCCGATCATGCGAGAAAAAGATCAGATTTAAGAAAAAGAAGTACTATTTTCTTTCTGATAGGTTTTAGGGCCAATAAAGAACACAGGAATAGTATTAGATTTACTCCCCTTGCCCCGATACGCAGAAACTCTGTTATGAAGGTAAGCCTACAGTTCTAAAAGTGATAGGGAGGATTATTGAATGGACGACATAATTCTGTGATGGTAAGGATCTCCTTTGGCAATTCTGATAGTTTAGATTAATTTAAAATCTGATATAAATCAAGCGATCGTTCAAGCACGTAAAATGGATATGCTACCGAATCATAATAATTCAAATTTGATGATATGTAAGTGGCTATTAAAAATAGAAAATCTTGGTTAAATAATGCTAATTTTCGTAACTATAGTAGAAGAAAATAATGAGATACAAGAGGAGCAATCTATCGAATCAAAAACAAAAATATCCTGCTTTCATAGAAGGAGACATGTCAAGAGAAGTTTTGTTTCAGACTACCATACGAAAAATATGAAAGTTATTGAAGAGTATCAGTCATCAAGTTCTACTCAAGATAGCATTGACACTTCTTATTTTAACAAACCCTGATGAGATACAATTGAAAGGAAGGTTAATCATGAAAGAATTCGTCAACTGTCTAAGCCTAAAAAAATTGACAGTTTCTTCAAGAAAGAAGGAGTAAGGAACAAGAGTTTATACAGTTTTGGTACAGATTTCTAAAATAAACTTAAAATCCTTGATCGTTTCATCTCTAAAATAAAAATAACCTTTACTTTATAGATAAGAAATTCAAATGAGAAATCTCCAACTAACTCTATCCTATTAAAGGAAGCCAGAAATATGTCAGGAATTTATAGCACTTGGAGGAAGAGTAAGTTTCTTTTTGACCCGATTTAACCCTTCTTAGAACCACTTCTAAAGTCTGATAAAATATTACTGGCTAAGCGGAAGCTCTACAAGAACAGGAATAGGGTGCATCAGGCCACGTTGGCATTTGTATAATTTATATACCATGCATTTTTGTAACTACAGGATACAGTCTGGGGTTTTGGGGTTTTGGGGTTTTGGGGTTTTGGGG